CAAGAACGATGAAACGTAGTCCTTGCATTTCACAAGCTGTAGTCTGTAATATAATCGACATTAGCCTAGCGTTAAGTGATGACTATGGTCCGCTCACACCATTGTGGGGGACCTTGGTGGCCAGATAAAGAGAGACCTCTTACTCTTGTCTTATATTGTGACCTTACTTGAGGGACTTATGGCCTTTTCCACTAAAAAAACCTGCAAATTTTAATACTCTCCTTTAATAAAAAATAAAATGACAAGATTGTATTACTCTTCCAGTATCATTGAAATTGTCAAGGCTGGCCTGGGGGCTTCTGAGGGCATAGTCTGTGTCTGACTCAGTCACCAGAACCCAACATGGGGCCTGGGAGCATATAGAAGACAATGGATAAAATGAATGAATAAATAGATAGAGCCAAAGTCACATTTTAATGGCCTAATTATATCTTTTCAGGGCAATGCAGTATTTAAAAAGGGACAGTGATAACACATTTTTAAAAATTATATTCATTGTTGAAAGTCTTACATATGTCCCCCTTTTTTTCCAATTGATCCCCTCCACCCAGGCCCCGCCCCCACCTAGCCCCTCACCACACTATTATCTGTGTTCATGGGTTATGCATATATGCATACAAGTTCTTTGGTTAAACTCTCCCCGCTCACCCACCCTCCCTAGCCTTCCCTCTGAGATTCGTCAGTCTGTTCCATGCTTCAATGTCTTTGGACCTATTTTGTTCATCAGTCTATTTTGTTCATTAGATTGCATTAGATCATGTGATACTGTCTTTCTCTGACTGCTTATTTCAGTTAGCATAATACTCTCCAGGTCCCTCCATGCTGTCTCAAAGGGTAAGAGATCCTTCTTTTTTACTGATGCATAGTGTTCCATGGTATAAATGTACTGCAGCTTTTTTATCCACTAGTCTACTGAAGGACTCTTGCACTGTTTCCAGATCTTAGCGATTGTAAATAGTGCTGCTATGAATATATGGGTGCATATATTCTTTCTGATTGGTGTTTCAGGTTTCTTAGAATATATGCATAGCAGTTGGATCACTGGGTCAAATGGCAGTTCTATATTTAATTTTTTGAGGAAACTCCATACTGTTTTCCATAGTGCCTGTACCAGTCTGCATTCCCACAAGCAGTGTACTAGGGTTCTCTTTTCTTCACATCCTCTCTAGCACTTGTCATTTGTTGATTTGCTAATGGTAGCCATTCTGACAGGTGTGAGGTAATACTTCATTTTCATTTTAATTTGCATCTCTCTGATGATTAATGACTTTGAGCATTTTTTCATATGTCTCTTAGACATCTATATGTCCACTTTGGAGAAGTGTCTATTTAAGGTACAATGGCATATTTCACAGATCTAGAACAAATAACTCCAAATAATTTATATGGAACCAAAAAAGACCCCGAATAGCCACAGCAATCTTGAGAAGAACAAAGTTGGAGGGATTGCAATACCGGATACAAAGTTATACTACAAAGCCACTGTCATTAAAACAGCCTGGTGCTGGCATAAGAACAGACATATATGTCAATGGAACAGAACAATGGAGACACCCCAGAAATTGACCCAAACCATTACTCTCAATTAATATTTGACAAAGGATGCAAGAGCATGAAATGGAGTAAAGACAATCTCTTCAGTAAATGATGTTGGGATATTGGACAGATACATGCAAAAAAAAAACTAGACCACCAACTTACACCATACATAAGAAAACACTCAAAATTGATAAAAGACTTAAATGTCAGTTGTGATATATTAAAAATTCTAGAAGAAACCATAGGCAGCAAAATCTCAGACATCTCTTGTAGCAATATATTTGAGGGTACATCTAGGGCAAGGGAAACAAAGGAGAAAATAAACAATGGGACTACATCAAAATAAAAAGCTTCTGCACAGCAAAAGAAACCATCCACAAAATTAAAAGGGAGCCCACTGTATAGGAGAACATATTTGCCAATGATACATCTGATAACATTTTAAAAAGGAGATGAATGGCATATTTAACACTTCCTAAGAAGAAGGGATTCAGCTTCTATCACTTAATCTAGGTTTTTAATTACAGAAGCATTGAGAGTTCCCTGTGGCTGAATATGGATGAATCTTTAAGGCAAGCTGAAGTGTCAGGCTGTCCTTGTGGACATGGATACTCCCAGGGAGCATTTTTTTATGAAGAAAAGTGTGGGCTTACTGCCTTTTCATGAAAACTCCTGGAATTTGGCTGACTGCCTGGTTTATCCCAGGACATTAGTCAGCCCACAAATACCACTTTTGTTTATTCAGTCCGGAGCAAGTGAATCCTGCCCTTCTCCCATCTCCTTTGTTGGCAAATGCTTTGTTAACCTGAATCGAGTTCTGCAACACAAAATGAAGTGACTAATCTTTGGGGGTTTCTTCCTTCCAGGTTCTTGTATGAGTAGCTAAATCTATAGACCACAAAGCCTCACACTGTCGTTTTCCCTCATGCTGCTCTTTCATTCGGATGGCTCCACATTGTACTTAAGGAAACCAATACCTACCAGAGTGTGGTTGAACCGGCGCCACCATTAAGAAAAGGAGGTTACTAGGCTTTTGAGTGTTGTGAGAAAATGTTGGCGGCACAGGGAGGTTAGGTTGATTATTTATACTTCTGTAGTGAATTGTTGGGCATTTGCAATAGTCACCACCTTGCACTCTCAAAGTTTCCTAGTTCTGAATACGTGGGTCTGAAAGTACAGGAAGTAGGAATCAATACAACAGAGACACTTTGGATGATCATACAGTGAATATGTGGCAGGTCTGGAATATGAAACGAAAAAGAATGTATATCCTTAATCACTAGGCTATTTGTCTATTTACAAATATCTAAACTTTTTAGCAAAAGTTCGAGGATCTAATTTTCTGAATTCCCATTGACTACGAAAGAGTGATTTGTTTCAGTAGACAACTGTGATACAACACGGTGCAAAACAGAGGAGGGGATAAAGCAATTCATAAAGATGATCCTTCTTACCATAAGCCCCAGCCATTTTTATAACATGTTGCACAGAGCAGCTTGACAAATAATTCTTGTTGATCATTAGGCCTGTAGAAATTCTGTTTGGTTCATCATGTTTTGACTCTGACTCTAACCTGTTTTTCTCTCTTCTTTCTACAATTTTTTTTTTGCCACAATTACCTGCCAAACAACTTCTTTCTACCACACTCCTCCTCCCCAGGGTAAGAGAATGCAAGCTCATGGTAGCACTGGGAGCAAGAACATTGAAGAACTATCGCCTGACTTCTAACTGAGGCTTGAATTGGTGCAGTCCTCTTAGCTTTCCAGCGTGAAGTTCAGGGATCACAAAGGTCGTTTCATCCATGAAACTTTTGCAACTTGTTATTTTCATACCTGACATCTGGGGAAAGATGAATCTAAAAGGTTTTTATAAAATAGCCATTAGCTCAGGATATATTCAGGAAAATGTAGAAATAATTCCTGGGCTTTGGTACAGATGACGCACATGCTGGAAAACAAACCTAAAGTGATGAAAGAGGTTGTCTTTTGTAGATACTTTTCTAAACTTGAGTTCTATATCTTTGCGTTTGACTCAGTGAAATCTTTACTGAGCACCTAGTGCATGCCAGAAAGTCTGCTACATTAGGAGGGGTTGGGAGCCCAACTGAGAAACATGAAGGGTGAAGGGAGAATAGATGTAATTAAAGCACGAAGCAGACTAGGATATAGTACACAATGGTGATAGGGCATTATGGAGGAAGGGAGCATGTTTCATTAGTGGGGCCAGGAAATGCATTACTAAGGTGATGGCATTCTTGTGGGGTCATGAAGGGTAGATAGGATTTTGGCAGGTGAGGAGGCACTGCAGGGCAAGAGAATAATAAGAGCGAAAGCACAGCAGTCTGTTAAGGGTAGAGGCAGGGAAATAAAGGATGGCTGTGTTTATCTTGTGAACACTGAGCTATATGTACAGTTGACTGCGTCCTCTTCCTTGAACCACTGTTTACCCCAGAGTCACCACACCCTCCTGGCTCTTTGCCAGTCTTACCGGCCACTGCTTCTCAGTCACTTTTCCTGCTTACTCTTCCTCAGTCTCACTTCTACACGTTGAAAGGCTTCATCATCGGTCTTCTCCCAAGTTGCTATCATTTAAATAGAAAATATTTAACATCTACATGCCAGTGACTTCCAAATCAGTAACTTTCCCCATGACCTGTGACCTGACCTCTAGGCTGCATATCAAATTGTCTACCCAACATTTTTACTTTACATTTGCTGTCCACTAGGCCAGTGGTCAGCAAACTCATTAGTCAACAGCCAAATATCAACAGTACAATGATTGAAATTTCTTTTGAGAGCCAAAATTTTTAAACTTAAACTATATAGGTAGGTACATTGTCATTAACTTAATTAGGGTACTCCTAAGCTGGCCTTTGCTAAAAACATCCTCAATCTGAGGAATCGACCTCAGCGAATGTACCCCCACTTCTTCTAATGCCACTTCTTCAAAATAGACTCGCCCAGGCCGAAAACTGACTTCTGCGCATGGGCCACGAAGTTTCAATCGCACTGTATGTGTGCGCCCGCACGTGGTATTTTGTGAAAGAGCCACACTCAAGGGGCCAAAGAGCCGCATGTGGCTCGCGAGCCATGGTTTGCCGACCACTGCACTAGGCCCAAATCAGAACTCTTGATTCTTTGCTCCCCTTCTGCTGGAAATCCTGCTCTTCCTCTAGTCTTCTCTTTCTTAGCGAATGGGCCTACCATCCACCTAGGTGCTTAGCCCTCTCCCCAAAACGCGGAGTTATTCTAGGTATGGCCTTTTCCCTCATCCTTACCATAAAGCAACAAATGTTTTGAGTTCACCTCTACACCACTCCAAACAGGTGACTATTGTTTTTTCTTATAAGCCTTATGGCAGTAAGATTTGCCTCCAAATGTACATGAACTGCTTTGATAACAATAAGTATGAAATTTAAAAAACATGAATTTTACAGAGATCGTCTCTTGATTCCTTTCCAGAAATTAACTCATAAGTCACCCAGAAGAGCCATGCGATCTTCAGTTTGCATGTAAGTTGGAACTGATTTTTCCCATCTTCCAAAAGAGCCTTCACATTCTCTTGCCTTCCAGACCCAGCCGCTATGGATCAGATACACAAAAACCTGTCCCTGATTATCTGTTATATAGTGAAAACAGCAATAATGATGAAAATGATAGTATTACTGCTACAAATACTAGTGAGCTGCTATGAAGCCCTGCCTTCCACTGCAATGAGCACTGTACATTTACTGATGGTTCAAACCTCATGGGCCTACCATCCACCTAGGTGCTTAGCCCTCTCCCCAAAACGCGGAGTTATTCTAGGTATGGCCTTTTCCCTCATCCTTACCATAAAGCAACAAATGTTTTGAGTTCACCTCTACACCACTCCAAACAGGTGACTATGGATATGATTATTGTCCTCATTTTGGGTCACACAGTTGGAAAGTGACAGAAACCAGGACACAACCCTATTTCTGTTAGACCCCAAAACCCACACTTTTAACCGAGAGTAATTTAAAATTTAAAATTCTGAGTCAGCTTCTAGTGCAAGGAACATATTGGTTGGCTACAGTGAGGAAGACATAAAGATGCATCTCTAGAAAGATGATACTGTGTGAAAAATGGATCCTATTTATATCCCCTTTTCTTAGGCCTCATTGTCTATTCTTATGTAATTTTCAAGGTAATTTCATTATGGGGGATGCTGAAAACTTGCCATTCATTTACTCAGCCCCCTCTCTTCGACATTCATGTCTTCTCATTCCCTCCAGTGGGCACCCTCCCTGACATCGGAAGTGTAAAATAGAAACTAGGGAGGAGCATGAACCTAGCAAGAGGATAAATGAAATTATTAGAAACAATTTCCAGGGGAAGAACACTATTTTGGAGCTATTTCAATCTTTATTTCTTTCTGGATCTAATGGTGAGAGGCCCTCATAAACCTTAATGAAAGCAGAGAGATTAAATCAGCCAGGATAAACCAGGTTTTGCTATGGTAACAAACAACCTCAAAATCTCAGTGGCTTAAAAAGCAAAGAATTATTCTTACTCACAACACATGCCCCTCAGTAGTCACATTCCACGATGTATTCTCCCTCTATTCACCATCTGTTTGTACCCCATCTTTTCGCTCTGGGCATTAGGGCCATTTTCTGATTTCATGTGGAAACTACCTTAGGAGCACGCCCTAGACACAGTAGTTCTTGGAACTACCACTGATTTTGTATGATTCTCTGGAAGGCTGATTATGCCCAGTGCCCTCTTTCCTTGGGTTATGGGCCATACTGCAGTTGACATATCTTATTAGTGTTTCCTGGAGATATCTTTGGCTCTGAGAGCTCCTCTAAGTGAGGCAGGATCCTCTAATTTCAAGCGTGGGCTGTGGAAGCAGACATGAGTCTGAGTCAGCTCTGCCACCTACTAATTGTGTGACATTGTCCAATGTCTTAAGCTCTCTCAGCTTTAGCTTCCTTATTTGAACAGGGTTTTTGTTCATTATTTGAGCAGGGAAAATTGATTGGATCTGAGAGAAGTCAGGAGATAATATTAGTAGAAAGTGTTGATGAATTGGGTGAGGCAGAGGGAGGAGGCAAGGATGACTACCAGGTTTCTATCTCAAGCAACTGGGTGGTGGCACCTTTTAATGAGGAGGAGATAAGAGAATCAGTGTGTGTGTGTGTGTGTGTGTGTGTGTGTGTGTGTGTGTATGAGAGAGAGAGAGAGAGAGATCAATTTTGAACATGAGAATTTGAGGTGCTTTCTAGATATTATAAGTGGAAATGTTGAGAATACCAAGTTGAAGTTTTAATGGTGCATAAAGAATAGTCTGAACTGATAATAGAGATTTCAAAGTTATTTACATAAAGAAGGTAATTGAAGCTATAGGAGTAAATGAGATATACTGAAAACGAGGGGAGAAGAGGGCCTAGGGTAAGCCCTGAGATCTTTTCTATGTAATGGTCTCATAGAGAAGGTAGAGGATTCTTCCAAAAAAGGTCTGCTTTTATGACACCACACTTTCTTCTTTCCTTCTTACCTTTCTGGGCACCATTTTCTTTTTTTCCGTGAGGAAAAAGATTATGTTGTCTACTTAGAGTGAGGGGGGTGGGCAGGCTTTGGTAAGGTTCCTCAGTAGAGACGTATAAGTTTAAAATAATTACTAAGGCACATAGGAAGGAATGCTCCTCCAGTGAGAGGACTGAGGAGATGTATTGAAGTCCTAAGATCAGAGACCATATGGTTTATGACAATAATCTGGATGGTTATAATATGTTACTTAGGAGTGCTCAGCTTTCTAAATTGATCCTGTGTTGGGAGATTGCCAGGGGAGTGCAATATAGGAAGATACATGTATGCATTTGAACGTGCTGCTGGTGAGTAGTTCAAAAAGCCAACGACTCGTAATCTTTTTAGGGGACGGCTGATAGATGTGAGGAAATGAAGACCTCAGGAACTGAAGGGCTCCATGAGTTTGGAGAGCAGGTGTGTGTAAGTGAGGGTCCTGAGAGCACTGGAGGAGAGGCAGCCAATTCCTAAAATAGGATGTTTGCAGTTAAAAATTTGGGTGTGGAACCACTATAGTGATAACAAGGTTCAGGATGTATGTCTGGCCGGGGAGTCTATGTTGAATGGAGGTGAGGTTTCTTATTGTGTATTTGAGGTCAAGAACAGTAGTTTTAAGGTGTTGGGTGGATATCCCACAGAGACACTGAGTTTTTCTAGAATGATGTCATAAGTTGGAGTTGAGGAGAAGAGTGTTATGTCTTGAAGAATGTGGCCAGGAGGGCAGTAGATGATAGAAACATAGAAGTGTACATGGTGATACAGTCAGATGGCATGGGTACCAGGGTAGAAGGGTGGTAATTCTAAAGTGGCATTAAGGAACCAGTAAATTATCACCCCTTACCCTTCATTCTATGGTAGATGAAATACACAACATAATGTGTGGAGATGTTGTGCTTATATGGTTTTTCTTTTACTAAAGGAAGAAGATTCTAGAGGGCATAGTGGTTTGAGGAGAGAATTCAAAGAGAGAAAATGTAGGGCATTAAGGGGTTAACAATAGGGGGCATAAATTGACTTTCTTTTGGCATATGAAGATTTTAGGAATGGAAGCCTGTTGGGGTCCTGCCCCAGCAGGTCCAGGGGTTCCCAAAGGTGTGGATGGAGACAGCGTTCAGTTGATCAGCAGCCTAGCCAGGTTCTCTAGCCAAGATCTCCTGCCAGGTTCTGTCTTTATTCTCCTGTTACATCTGTATTTATACCAGTTGATTTTAATCCTATCCATTCTATTCCAATAGTTAGGGCGTTTGTTAATCTAGTTCTGATGAGTTTAATCCTATCAATTCTATTCCAAAGGTTAGGGCGTTTGTTAATCTAGTTCTGTTGAGTTTAATCCTGTCTAAGTTAATCTCTGTGTTCCATTATAATGGCTATTCCAAGGTCACTGCTCTACTGATAAGCTACAAGGAAGTGACTGAAGGAGATTATCCTACCCAGTAAAGGTTATGTCCTCCCAGCCTCGCTGCTTGCCTTCCCTGGGACTTCCCTGTGCCAGTGGATCTCCAGGGGTATAGGCTTTAGTGCTTTCCCTGGTGGGCAGACCCCTGGGGATGTGGGCCCAACAAGTCCCAAATTTATTGCCAACAGTCTTAGTCCAAGTTCTTCATAAGTAGTACATGGTATTTCTGTAACACTAGGGGGTTAACTCCAGGGGAAAATCCCTACCTGGGGAAACAACCTTTCTTGGGGAGTTGGTCCTGGTTAAAACACATAGCGCTAAGAGTGGGAGCAAACATATGCCATATACGCCAGATCCCTTGAAACATAAGCTGTGCAGATGTTTCTTCAGTACAGCGACTGTGTCAAGGAGCAAGGGTGGACCGGCTTCCGGCAGAAGCTTTTGTTGGAATTAATTGACCACAAAGTGAGTCATATGGTGACAAAGATGTCTGGGAGTCTGAGATGGGATCTGGCCAAATCACGTGTGGGCTGGGTCACTGTGTGGAGACTGGGGTCATGAAGGATATGAACATGGGCTGCCTCCTGTGTGAAGGGTGAAGGGATCAGGCCTCCTCTCCCTGGGGTGGTCTCAAGATGTGCTGAGTGGCCCACATGCATGATAGTTTTCATTTAACATCTCTTTTCTAGTCTCCCATCCAGTGTAAAAGGTGGGCCCACAAATAATATTAATAAAACATCTGTCTGGCCCTAGCTGGTTTGGCTCAGTGGATAGAGCATCGGCCTGCGGACTGAAGGGTCCCGGGTTCGATTCTGGCCAAGGGCGCATGCCCATATTGCAGGTTTGATGCCCAGTGGGGGTGCAAGAGGCGGCTGATCAATGGTTCTCTCTGATCATTGATGTTTCTATCTCTCTCTCCCTCTCCCTTCCTCTCTGAAATCAATAAAGAAATATATTTAAAAAAACACACAACAACAAAAAACATCTACCTGTCTTCCATCCCTGGAGTTGTGAAGATTCATTTATGGGAAAAGCAATCATTTATGGGAAAGCACTTGAGCAATTCTAATCACTATATGTACGCTGAATTTTATTGTTACCCACACCTTTGATGTATTTCACTTTGTGCTCATCCGTGTATCTGTAACACACTCCCTGGGAGAATAAGGGTTTCCCTCTGACAAGCCAAGATTCTTTATTTATAGTGTTAGGCTGGCACCTGGGCTGACTCGCTGCAGTGATTATGTAGTCTTGATGTGGACTGGCATCTTTCCCTGGAGCTTGAGTATCTCCCTCAGCAGCTTCTCATGGCCAGAAGCTCCATCTCTGTGTCTTTCTATTACAAAGCCCAGACTCCAGTCTAGGCCACCCACCAAGTTCCTCGCTCCAGTCTTAGGAGTGCCTCCAGCTCCTGGCACCTTTGCAGAACTGAGCTGACTGGCATGCGCCAAGCAAAGGTTGCCCATCTCGTCTAGTTTCCCAGGTACACCTTGACGATTCCACAGGAAGGTATCCAGAACAAAGCACTAGTTGTCTCCGAGAACTGCAGTTTCCCAGTGTCTAAAG